TGTTAATAAAAATTAGTAATTAAACATTTATTGTTTTAATTACTATTTTTTATTTAATAATCGATTGTTAAAAAATGAAACGGTTTACCCCATAGATTGAATTTAACTTTTTATTTTGTATTTTAACCCAATTGCTCAACTCCTTATCATTCCGTATTTCCAATTCTAACAATTGTCTATGATGTCTAAAAGCTAACCTTTGTATATCTATTACCTATGAAGGTAACTTAACCACAATATAAATTACATTAAGTTTATACTGTGACTTAACCTCCGAAGTTTTATAAAAAATAAAATATAGATAATAAAGAAGACATGTAACAAAATCAAAATAAAGAAATGAAATGAAGTAGAAAATTAATACGGTGCAAAATTAACAATTATGCTTTGGTAAAGAAACCCAAATGTTTGGAAAGTATCTGAAATAATTTCCATATTAGTATAATTAAAGAATCATTTCAATTTATAATTAAAAATATGTATGTAACTAAACGGCCTACATTAAGGATAAATCAGTCTGATCTAGAGTGTAGAAATGGTTGTGGGTTTTATGGAAATGCAGAATGGGAAGGGTATTGCTCTAAATGCTATAGAGAATATGTTAGAAAAAACCGAGAACTGCAAGGATCTGATGGAACTTTAGATACAAATAAAACTCATATATCAGGTTTTTCTAAATTTGAAGAAAAGAAGAGACAACAAACTGATAAGAAAAACAAGTATTTGAAAAATCTTACACCAGTATTTAGGAAAACATCATCAGCCAGAGGTCAATGATTAGTTTTGATTTTAACAAATAAGTTTAAATAATTATTATTTCTTTATCATTTAGAATCAACTCGCTCTGAAAAACACGCACCTAGACATGCCAATCCAGAAATTGAGAAACTTTTAGCAGAGTATATTTCATCTTTTGGTTCATGGGGTGAAAATGTTCGAAATGATTTTTTAAAATGCAGTAATTCTGTTTATACAAAAGTGATAAGTGAAATTGATTGCAAACCCATTGATGAAATAGCAGATTTAGTTCAGAGATATTACACAATGTTTTCAAATCGATTACAGATCGAACAAGTGTATGAACATGTGAGTCCAGAAGCTAAAGATCAAATTTTTGATTTCTTTGAAAAATTTGTAATGGTATATTTGTACAGGTGAGCCACATTTTATTTATTTTTTATTTTCAATATTGACATTAACATTTTATTTATTTGTTTATTTAACCAGAGATATTACACTGTAACTCTACAGAGATGTTAAATATCTGTACGTAGGTCTAGTAACTTATATCTAAATTAACCTTAATTTGAAGTCTTATAACTTTATCCATTTTTTGGAATAATACTTTTTATTTTATCAAGTGTATGAAGCACGCCCGTCCATCAGCTACATCACAAATTTTTAAAGTAATTAATTTTACTTCATGTTCCCACCATAATTCACACCCACAAAAAGTAGTAAAGATAAAGATAAACTTAAACCAAATGAAATTATTTTTATTCTAGAATCATTCCTATAAGCTAATAGATGTTTGATTTTGTATTTTTGGTATACATTATTTGAAAGTGTAGAAAAATGAAGATATTTTTAAACAATTATACTTTAAATAACCCCCTTCGCTACCCTCGCCACATTTTATCATGCTACTCTCTATCTTAAACTAATTTTATGAACGACTTTCTCAATATTCTTTTTTTTTAATTTCTAGTATTTTGTTTTGTCCTTACACAACTGTTGATGAAGAAAAAGATTTGCTTATTCAAGAAAGAATTCGTAAACTAAGCTGGGTGAATGCTTATCATTTAGGTTGCTGTATTAGCGAAACAAGTATGGAAGTAAGAGAATTAGTATATACAGCAATTACTGAACTTTTAGGTATGTTATTTTAGATGTATCATAAAATTTGGTACATTTTAAGCACGATTTTAAGTACCCTCTCCACAAATTACGCAACGCAAATTGGCGAAGAGGGAGGGTTGGTAGGGCGTTGTAATTCTGTTACGTGAAGGGGTGTAGGGGATCAATTTGCGTTATGTAACGGTTTATTACGGTTCCGAAGTTTCCATATTACATACAGATACTTTAATCTTATTTAAATGCATACATTTAACATAAGAAGTTAAAATAGGTATGTTTAAATATTAATTAATAATAACAATAATTGTACCGCTTATGAAGTTTACACAAGAAACTGGTCACGGAAGCCATAAGCAGCGTTTTCTGTAGCATTGCCAGAATAATTCCGTCATCCTATACATGAATTTCTATTGTTTAGTAAAGTGATATCACACTTTTAAAACAAACCTTTCTTTTATGAATTCAAACTTGAAACTTTTATTACAATGCAAGCGTTATCTAGCGTAGAGGAGAGGGAGGAGCCAGGCTAGACGTTAAGGCAATGTTACGTGACTTAAAAATTAACATAAGGCGTAATTTATGAATAGCCCTTTTTTTCTTACTTTTATAAAATTGAATTTAAGATCTTACTTAACTGAAGTAATTTAAACTCGTGAAAAGTAAATAATCACCATCAATTATTAAAACATGCTTTATTTTTGATGTGAATGGCTGTGATGGGAAACGACATGACGCTCTTTTATGCCAACATGAACCCTCTACTTCACTGCTGTCGGCTCGGCTCTTCTATTGAATTCAGAAGAAACAGCTTTAAATATTTTTTCTGCAACAGTGACTTACCGAGAAAAAGATTTTTCTTTTCCAAATCTTCTATGAGTTGTGGTTTTCATATTTCACTATTTTTACATTCTACAACCAATCAAGTTAAGAAAGAATTAACAAATTTTAGTAAAATCATACAAAAAGCAAACTTTTGCCAAGACTATATTTTCCTGATGGAATAAGTAAATGTTAAAAAATGGTTTATGTAAATAGCCTAAATAGAATTTTTAAATTACAATATTTGATGTACTTCAATCAGGTAATCATCTTATGCATCAATAGTATATACCGTTGGTAATTTAAATTACTTTCACTGAGTAGTAATTATATTCTCAGTAAAATTTCAAAACCCTTTGAGGTTCCTCACTAGCCCCAAAATAAAAAACCTTAAACCAACCACTAACAAAGTAGAATTTTGCATCCCATATAAAAGTGAAAGCAAAGTGAAAATACATATTCCTTATTTATTTTTATATGCTTATGTACAAAGTGTCCATCACAGTGAAGTTCCACAATAACTGCATACAATAAGCCATACAGATCTACAAATGAATTACGCACTGCTGAAATACCGTGTATGTATCGGTACTTACTTGAAAATAACAATTATCAGCTGCGTGATGCACTGGTAATATAAAGTACGCTCCTTAAATGTGAAAATAAATAGAATGTGAATAAACATGCTTCTCTTTTTGAAGAGCCCTTTGAAATAAATTAAAAACAACTAATACTAACTGTATTATTAGGAATGGATTCAGTAAAAGCGCCCCAAGAAAAATTGACTTGCGTCGTTAAATGCTGCAGAAGTATAATGGAAGTATTACAACATTGCCAAGGTGGTCCCGTTAGTGCTGACGAATTTTTGCCTGCTTTAATTTTCATTGTATTGAAAGCTAATCCGGCACGTCTTAAAAGTAACATGAACTTCGTTACCAGATTTTGCAATGCACAAAGGTTGATGCAAGGCGAAGGAGGATACTATTTTACAAATCTGGTATTTTACAAAAGTTAATACAGTAGAATCCGTTTATTATGACGCCGCTTATATTGACCAACCGCCTATTATGACGTAATTACACTACGAAGTTTGGTTTTCATATAAAATTCTTTATAAAAAAATCGGATATAATGACTTCGCTTATAGTGACATGTCGCTTATTATGACCCACTTTTAATAAATTGTCCGGTTATAATGACCGACAGTGCAAAGTATCGATAGCGCTCTCCTCATATCCGAAGAACCCACCGATGACAATATCGTACAGAACATTAATGCTAAAGAACAACTTGAAAGTGATGGCGAAGAGGTAGTCGTGGAAGAACCATTACCTACCGCAGAAGATGCATTAAAAGCTGCAGAATTATTATCCCGATTTGTTAATAGCAATATTGAAAACGATAATTTGACCATGGCGATGTCTTCTATACACAATAGTATTAGAGACTATTTTTACAATAAAATGAAAAAACAAAAGCAGACAAAAATTACAGATTATATTCATTAAAAAATACATTTGTATGTGTATAATGTGTACGTAATAAACGTGCAATTTTGATTTCATTAGTTACTATGTTTCTCTATTAAATTAAGAAAAAACATAAGCAGACAAAAATTACAGATTATATACATTAAAAAATACACTTGTATGTGTATAATGTGTACGTAATAAACGTGCAATTTTGATTAATTACTAAGTTTCTCTATTAAATTAAATACATACATAAAAATGTTTTTTTTTTTTTTCACAAACCGCTTTGTATGACGTCCGGTTATTATGACGTGTTTGTCGATTCCCTTCGATGTCATTATAAACGAATTCCACTGTACTTGTACTAATTATTTTCATAAAAAAGAAAACCGTCTTTGTTTAGAATCTTAGTACACGTGTTCTTATAAAATATTTCTGTAATAATATGTTGTTCTTTTATTTTTATTGTTTTTAAATCAACGATGCACTCGTTTTATTTATATTGCTTTAAATTTTTTTGTTGATGTACTTAGGTTATCTAAATATCATATATCTAAATAGAATAGTAGTTAAATTAATTTATAGATATGGAATATTTTTTGATAAAATTTGTTGTAGTGTTGTGCAGTATCGTTTATCGAAAGTCTAACTGCGGAGTCACTAAATATGCCAGAAAATGAATTTAAGGCATACATGACTGGTGCTATAACCCCCGTCAGTGCTTGGGAATCTGCTTTAGTTGCCTGCGAAAGTATGCACCAGCTTTGTGAACATTTGACGCAACTGAAGATGTTATCAGATAGAATTGACACGGTCAAACAAGGTGCTGATACACTGAAAAGTAATATAGAAAAGTTTAAAGTAAGTTTTAAAGTATAGTTAACGAGATTTATATCTTATACCAAACAGAAAACCCTTTCCGCTAAAGATTAGTATGCTTGTATGGGAAACTTTAAATCCTTTGTATATAAATAATGATTTAATATTAAGAAAAAAAAGTAATACTAAATTTTAATAT